TGATAGATAAGAAATGCCCGAAATCCGAAACAATATGTCACTATTTCGAGTGCAAAGAAATAACGAACAACACGAACACCATTTCACACAAGTAGTACAAAAAAATGGTGTTTTGCTCGATTCTTCACCAAATCACATAAACTTGGTCTCAAAATTGCTCACAAACAAACATAAATTCATATACAAGTTAATTCATGGCAAGAATTTTGACATAGATGCTCCAAATCAAAAACCCCAATTTGATTTTTTAGGGTTTCATTAAAAGATGGCATTTTACAACAAAATTTAAAACAAAAGGTTACATGGATCCTTTGAGCTTTAAAAGCTCAATAAACCGCAGAAGGCAGCAGTGAAACCACCGCGGCACGGTAGCACAAGCCGTGACACAGTATCTCCGTCCGTGTCGCGACGACTCTCTGACAGGAGCGGTGACCCTCAGACAGCAGCGACAAGCAACAACGGTGAAATTGAAACAAAAATTGCGAAGCAGAACGGTCGTGACGCGATTAAAGACGCCGCGACACGGTGGAGCTTCCCATGTGCCGGTGAAGAAATGTCGTGGCGTGGGATCTCGTGAAATTAAAAATGAAAAAAAGAAAAGAGGGAATTGAGAAAATGAAAATGGCGAAGAAGAAGTAACAAAATGGGAAAGCAGAGATGCAACAACTCGAATTTAAAGCCAAAAAAGTAACTGTTACGCGGCTCCGTTCCCCGTGCCATGGTGGCTGTTGCAGCGTAACGGTAATTATGATGTGGCGCGACGCGTATATTAATGCACGTTGACCAGTTTAGCAAAAGAAAAGTCCCGCGTCACGGGATATTACACCGTCTGACGGGACCTGACACCGTGTCGCGGGATTTTTCCACGTGACGAGGTGCGCAACTATGTGTCTTGCAAGCTCTTGAAATCTCCTGACAAATATTTTGGCATCTTTGACTAAGTTGGAACGATTTTCCGCAACGTTTGGACAGTTATTTTCTCACCAGAATTACGCGGAAAATTTTAATTGGTGTTTAAAGGGTACCAAAATTACCAATTTACCTCTAACAAGCATTAGGGTCACATTTTCGACATTTTAAACACCTAATATGGTCAGATAGTCAACTTGAAGGTAAATCATCTGCAACCCACGTTCGGGGATAATCGAACCATCACACACTTTCAAATTTCATTCGACAAGTTTTTTCCACAAGCATGGAAAATTGTCGGTCGTTGCCACCTCTCAAAGCAAAGAAGTCAACGATTATATCATTTGTCGGCTTTTCTCAAGCATGGAAAGTATTATCGGTGGATTTCTTCAAGTATAGAAAACCGCCAAGTCGGCTTTCCTCAAGCATGGAAAGTATTATTGGTGGATTTCTTCAAGTATAGAAAACCGCCAAGTCGGCTTTCCTCAAGCAAGGAAAGTATTATTGGTGGATTTCTTCAAGTACAGAAAACCGCCAAGTCGGCTTTCCTCAAGCATGGAAAGTGTTATCGATGAATTTCTTCAAGTATAGAAAACCCCCAAGTCGGCTTTCCTCAAGCATGGAAGGTATTATGCGGTATTATGCGTTGAATTTCTGCAAGCATAGAGAAGCACCAAATTCATATGTCGACTTTCCTCAAGCATGGAAAGTATTATCCGGTAGGTTTCTTCAGGCTTAGAAAGCTACCAAACTCATCAGTCGACTTTCCTCTAGCATGGAAAGTGTTTCAACAAAACGTCATCCGGTGGATTCCTTCAAGCATAGGAAACTACCAAACTCATTTGTCGTCGATACACTAGTGTCAGATACGCATTTCTATCCCTTTACTCTTTTATATGTGGAATTAAAATTTTTTTTGCAGGTATCGGCGTATACAGAGTGATTTATGATCACAGAACGTCATAAATCATTATCCGTCCCCATCGAATACTTTGACTATCGTTTTCAAAACTGACGTTTCTACAAACTTAGTCAAAGTGGGGGCTTCTGTAGACACCTTAAAATGTCTCCCCAAAACCAAATCCGATGATGAACAATCTTTCACCTCCATTATTGGTCATGTTCATTATTTAATCCCGAGAGTGCTTTAAAAATCGTATTTAATTAAATTCAGTTTTTTAAAAAATTAACAGATTAGTCTTGATGTTTATTAAAAGCATAGTTTAATTATTATTTTTGGACCAAACTTTTTTTTTTATTATTTTTATTTATTTATTTTATTTATTATTTAAGCCTAATTAATAAATAATAAATCAGAAATGGCTCGAAATTATGACTCGGCACTTAAAAAGGCTGAGTTTTATTAGGGCAAAAATGTATTTAGACGGAAAATGGACACAGGGTCTGCCGCGTCACGACAAACTGTGTCGCGTCACGGGACTCACTACCGCGCCACGACACAATTTCCAATGATATGGTTCTAGTGTCGTGACACGAGACATCCCCGCGTAAATCTTTCATGCGTTTTAACCACCGTAGGTTAGATATTTCCCCTATCACACAAAGATATCCCACGTCACACAAATGTTTACCGTGTCACAACATATTTTTTCGTGTCGCGGCATTGTTTTTAAGGTTTTTATCCTTTTTAAGGTTCCATGTGTGCCCTCTACTCATTTTCCCTATAAATACCCCCTCATTTCTGATGTACGGGGCATCAATTAGCTCTATTTTTCTCTCTATATGCTCTAGCCTAAACACTAGCCTACCCTTCTTCTTTCTAAATTCCTTCCTTAAGCACTCCAAGGAGTCCGTACTTTACTCGAGGTTCTGTCCTTAAACCAAGGCATGAAAGGTAGAACTGTTTGAGGGTTTGGCCCCCAAATCAACCCTATTTAATTTAATGTTATTTGATTATTGTTTTATTAATTTTCCTTGAATTTACTAACTCGTTTAATGTTTTATTGTTGCAAGCAAACAAAATCAATGTAAAATTATGTTCCTTTTATTTCTATTATTTTTCTGACGATTTTATATTGTTGGGTTTATTGTTAAATTGCTTCTAATATTAATGTTTAATCTATTATATTTATTGATCACCATATTGCATGTTAAAGGGAATATGTAATTGAAAATCACGCCTAATAAGATAATTTGGACGACCAATTTAGGTTCCTTTTTAATCTTGTTGTTTAATCAAGTGACCAAGATATTTTAGAATTATGTGTTGCATTAAAATTCAACCAATTTAGCTTAATAATAGTTTGGAGTAAATTGAATATTTTGTTTGTATTCCTTTGAGATCGTAGGAATTACTTTTCACTATAAGAATCGAGTAGAGGCCAATACGGGCTAATGTGACTCCATGACTCACTTTGTACCATCATCTGCGATCCTCCTTTCGTAGTTTTGAACCATATGGAGTTAGTAATCTCATGGATTATGAATGGGGTGTAACCTTCACGGGTCCATCAATGTTGCCTTTTGTTGTCCTTTAATCGTGGTTGCCTTAAATGATCCGTGAACGATTTACAAGTTCCTTAAAAACTTGTTGGCGACTCCCTACTTTGCTTTGTCTCTAATCGTTGTCCCTAATTGTATATGTCAATTCCCACTTCCTAAGAGTGTCAAGCATATTCACACATGCTTTAACGTAGGCGCACTTCAAACGACGCCTACAGTCATGTCATGTGTGTCAAATTTGATTAAATAAAGTCAGGATTAGACGCGGTATCTTGTAGAACAAGAGGTGATTTCATGTTTCTCTAATTGTTTAACCTTGCAAGTATCTCACAGGGGTATTGTTGTCATTTTGAGTGGGGAAAATGGGGATAAATTTGTCATTTCAGTTATAATAGAAGTTTTTAGTTGTGTGAACAACGATGTCCCTATAAATTGCTTAAGAGAAGGTATTGCATAAGGCTTGTTTCACTAATAGCTACAATGATATAGGTTCTATACCTTAAGGGGTCGTTTGGTTTGATAATTTGAAAAGGGTTAACATGGAGTTAGAATCCATTCCATCTAGTTTTTTGTTTGGTTGAGGTTTTTAGTAATGGAATCTCATACCTAAGAGATTCTAACTCCTCCCACGCCCATGGAATCACATACCCACCGACCACCCTTTAAGATTCACAATCCATTCTATTAATAAAGGATAGAATACATTTCAACAATAACACCAAACAATTTTGGACTCTTATTGGTTTTACAATCCATACGTCTCTAGTATGAGATTTCATATCAATCAATTCCAAATTGATAAATCAAACACATTTTCTAATTATTTGACTCTGTCCTATAATACTTTACACATTTCTCATTTTCGTCCGTCTCATGCGTAATACTTGAGACGTTACTAAATATAGAATGAGACCATTGTTAAAAAAAATATTTTCCCACATTTTCTCTCTTCACCTACCCCACTTCCATCCTACTTGTTGTTTTCTTGTAATATAAAAATATAAAAGAAATACATTTACGAAGTACCCCCTCCGTTTTTTTTATTACGTTCTCTATTTCTCTTGGACACGCATGCCGATACTAATCTTTGATCACTAATATCTTTAATTATCAATAGGTATAATTTCTAACAATTGAAAATTAATAATCTATTAATTGAGATGATTCCAACAAGCACCCACACGACTATATTTTTTCTTATGTCTAAATCACAAACATTAGCCAAAGTAGAATAAATGAATAGTGCAAAAAATAGAAATGAAGCAAGTATTAAAAAAGGGAAGGAGTATACAATAAACAAATGTTTTAAATAGACAAACTTGTAGTTTTATTAATGCGTCCACCCCAATGTCCCAAGTATAATGGGATGCAGGGAGTAATGTCATACTTAGGGTTTGTTGTATTCAACTTAATTTCATTCCAGTTTAATTTAATTTAATTCAGTTCAGTTCATTTCACTTCAGTACAATTTAGATTAGCTCCAATAATTTCAGTTCAATTCTTAATTTTCTCCTCTCGTAAATAATTGATTTCAATTAAGTTCAATTCAATTCAACTCCATTCACTTCAGTTCACTAAATTAGAACATACCCGTATAATATTCCTTCCACTTCCTTTTGTCTATTAGACTTCTTAAAAAAAAAAAAAACCTTCTACGACGAAGAAAAGAAAAAAAAAAAGCAAGTCATCACCAGAGCAGCGACCACCACCATGGCATCGGTTCCCGGCGACGTTCTCACAGCATGATCCCTACCATCACGTATGGCGCCCAGACTTCTTACCAATTGTATTTTCCTACCTTCAATTGTGAGAGGTTAGCCCTACTTTTCTCTTTAATTTTTATTTAATCATTCATCATGTATATTGTGGCTTTATTCCTAAATTGATTTGAGATTAGGTGTATATATGAGCGTATACTTCTAAATTTCATGGTGATAATGCAATATTTCTATGGGTATAATTTGATGCTTTACGAGTGGTGGCATTTGTCCATCTCTGCTCTGGTAATTTGGCTTCTTCAAACGATATCATTATTCTTTAATTAATCTATTCTTAGTTTAGTTATGAGTATATGATTTATATTGTGGTTTTGACGTTTTGTGTAATTTTCATGTTGGAATTCTTTATCTAGAATATGGAGATGTCAACCTTTGTTATATGCACGGGGAACTAGAGTTGTCAATTCAGGTATTCAAGTCGGGTTCGGGCCGGGTTAAATTAGGTCTCAGGTCAAATCAAGATCAGGTTGTGTCGGGTCAATCTAGCCTCAGATCAGGTTCCGGTTGGGTGAATTTCGATTCAAGTTATTCGGGGTTGTTCATCCTTTCGGTTGTAGGTCGGGTCCGATTCGAGTCAAATTCATAACGGGTTCAATTTCAGGTTCGGGTTGTATTGAATCGGGTTTGGTCGGGTTAATAAATAGTACATTCGGGTTCGGGTTAAGGTTGGGTCAGATAATTATTTGGTCGGATTATCTTAAAGTTAAATCATTCTTGGTTTTGGTTCAAGTTCAATTCGAATAAATTCGATGTGGTCAAGTTAATTTATTTAATTACGCTTTACATAATTTGTTAAAGCATTATCAAGATTTTATTACAACTATATACGAAGTAATAAAGAATAAAAGGTATATAAAATTTATTAAATCGTCCATGACTCGCTTCAATAACAGGTTGTGTTGGGTTATAAACGTTTTCAGGTTCTAATAAGGTCGGGTTCTAGCTCGGGTTCGATTGTTGTCGGGTCGGATTAAATTGGTTGACGGTTACTATCGGTTTGGGTGCGGGTTCGGATTCAGGTCATAAAATATTGAATCAAATTAGTTGTCGGTTAATATCGGGTTGGTTCAGGTCGGGTTACGGGTCACTAGTTTCACCCCATTGTTCCGGTACAGGTCAGGTTCATATCATTATCGGTTCAGGTCGTGTTCTCGGGTCGGGTCAATTTTTGACAGCTCTATGGGGAACTTGTAGAAAAAAGAGGTGACGTGCCATATATTGGTAGGGAGAATAGATTTTTGTTTTTTTTATAATTCTATGAGTTTCTCGAATGTTTTGAGTTAAATATATGAAGTTGTGGAGTGTGATTCTCGATATTTTGAGTTGAAAATGAGAATGAGGTATCCTATACACAACTTATATGCAACTATTTGATTGAATGATAATAACTTATTTAGAGACATGTGGGTTTATGTTAAACAATATTTAATGTCTAATATTAAATTTTGTTTAGAATTGGTTCCTTAGCAAGCAAGTATGGAGGACAACATCACGGTTTCTTTTCCTACAATTCAATCTTTGTCGATTATGCTCTCAAACTCACAGGGAAGAATTCCTAATGAAGGGAGGGTATCATCTACACGAATGCTTACTGATGACCGTTACATTGTTGATCATTTATCGGATGTGACTTCTCCAACTCCCTTACCTCATTCACGTTATGCCTCCTTCGGTGATATTAATTAATTAATTACACCTGTATGGGGACATATGGAAAACAGACCGATTAAATGTGAAAGGGCGATATGTTAACCGGGTACAGATCCTCAGCAACTACTAGACATTTCGGCATTTATGCAAAAAGAAGACATTTCGGCTTGTTAGCGATTGGCACGTGGCGACAACAATTTGACACTTGGCGCAAGATAGATTGCATGTTATGCAGCCACTTATCATTTGGAAGGGCTATAAATAATCAGATTTTGATCTCGTAATAAAGGTAGCATTTATTACTCTCTCTCTCTCTTCCTTTGTCTCTCTTCTTATCTTCTTACCTTCATAAACACTTTATGACATTATCATTGGAGTGGTTATCCCCGGATCAACCCCGGGGTTAGCTAATCTTTGTTCTTTGTGTAGGTTCTCATCTTGACGATAGGAGCTTAACGGGTTTCAGGCTCGGGCTTTGGATCTTGGAGTTGGGTTGTCGGATCCTGATATGAACAATTTGGCGCTAGAAGGAGGGGAAAGCTAAGTAATTTCTTCTATCGCCTAAGAACCTCACACAGACACACACACACACACACAAAGGTTAAAAATCAAAGCACTCCAGTAATCACACTACTACAAAATGCGTGTTTTTTGGACGCTTTTTAAGCCTTTTTTCGACGCTAAAAAGCGTCGAAAAATAATTTCTCGACGCTGCAAAAAAGCGTCGAAAATCCAAGAGTCGAAAATTTTTCGGAGACACAAAAAAGCGTCGAGAATCTCGATGCTTTTTATTGTCCAAACTAATATACGAAGCGTCCAAAATGATGTATTTCGCGCATTATCCCAAATGTATGTAGTTTTTTAGCGACGCTTTTTCCTGTCCACATAATCAAATTTTGCGACGCTTTTTGTTGTCTTGCGTTTATTCGTGCCAGCCTATGGTATGGCGGGAAAGTCTATGAAATTTGAAAATGTGCAATTATGTAGACATTAAAAAGCGTCTAGATTTATTTTTTAAGCTTTTTTTTTTTCTTTTATCAATTTATCATCATAAATACATTATAATTATTTAAATTTATCATAAATTAAATTAATTGATAACATTAAAATAAAAATAAACAAAAATTCTATATAACTAGACTAAAAAAAACAATAATTAATCAACAATAAAAAGAGTACGTAGTTAATTACCAAATTTAGAAAAGAAAACATCTACACAGTACTACAATCATTAAAAAAAAAATGGTCGCATATTATAGTATGTAGCTTGTCCTTAAATAAATACATCACTAATATAAGACTAAAAACCAAAATAGATAGATGATGGCCACATTGATCGATATAGTCGCTTGTTGATGCTCAAGTGTCCCGGCCTATTCTCTTGTTGCACCTACATTGCCTTTTCCAATCTTCAAAAAAAAAAAATACAAAGTATAATTTAGTCTAAATCATTTTTTACCAGAGCAACCACCATTACACATATGATTAACTTGATCACAATCAGTTCATACTTCATATAGATATATGTACATCAGCTTTGTTTGAATTCATCTCACTTTCATTTTACTTGTCTTATTTATTCATCCATCTTTTATGAGAAATTTTGTATTTTTTTTTTTTTTTTGTAAAAATTAGAGCAAGTAAAATCATATGCATTCTCTTATTAGAATTTAGAATAATCAAACAAGGCATTACTGATCAAGTATCAAGAAGATATCACAGCATGCTAAAATTACAAACAACAAAACGATAACCAGAACAACAAAATAATAACCAGAACACAACAACACAGAAGCATTCACAGCATGCTAAAAATTACAAACAACAAAACAATAACTCACAAGCAAGCATTCAGTTCTGAGCTGAATTCAGAACTGATTTTCAGAACTGATTTTCAGAGCTGCAATTCAGAACTGAATTCCAGAACTGATTTTCATTTCTGAAGATCAGCTCTGCATTCAGTTCTGAGTTCAGTTCTTGAATTCAGCTCTGGATTCAGTTCTGAATTCAGTTCTGAAATTCAAGTTCTGATGTCAGTTCTGAAATAAGAGCAACAACTCAAGTTCTGATGTTCACACAAGCTCAAGTTAAGACAAGTAGTATAAAAGCAGCAGGGGAGCCGGAAGAAAAAGTAGCAGGGGAGCAGGAAGAAAAAGTAGCAGGGAGCAGGGCACACACACACACACACACACATCACACATCACAAGCAAGCATTCACACAAGCTCTAAATGTTACCTGATGTTTTGCCTTTCCTAAGAATTCAGATCCTTTGTTTAGAAGACCCGGAGATGCATTCCCTTGACGAACTGCACCTACAATCTGAGAAAATTGTCCAACAAGCGCTTTAAGAAGAAGATTGTTGTGTCTGACCTCGTCTTTCAGCTTTTCATTTTCTTGAGATAGTGTACCATTTTTTTTGTGCAAAGCATTCACTTCTTCTTTAACACTATCCATCACAATAGTCCTCTTTTGAACTTTTCCATAGCCTTCCTTCCTTAACACACCATGTACTCCGAAAATGTCCCCCTTTTTAACCCCTTGTCCGTAACCCACCGGACGATCGGGAATCTCATTGCCATACATAGTTTGCTGAAATGCTTCATCTTCGAGCTCTTGTTCAGACATCTTAGGGTGCACCATCCTCAACTCTTCAACCTTAGCTTTAACATCATCCTATACCAACATTTAGGAGTAATTTAAGACCACAAATAACACATAATCACACCACAAAATCTACACAAAATGATACAAGAAATCTGTCACAAAACCATACCACAAAATCTTGAGTGACTGTGTCAGGAAGAAATTTTCCGTCTTTACCCGCATGGGTTTTAATCCACAGTGCTAACAAGCTCATTCTTTGTCCATGTTCATCTTCCTATAAATAATAAGGCAAAACAAGCATTAAATATGTGTACAATAGTATATAACCCATATAACTTGGCTTTGCTCTTACTAACATCCTAAGTAAATATAAAATGACATATATATATTCCATACATAATCAGCTTGTTGGTTTGCAAAACTTTTAGAGCCAGATGTATGAATCTGATTTAGAGAAGGTCGTGCCTTTTTACCACATTCTGACATAGTCTGCAATCACATTTTCATATTTTTTAGTTAGAGATTAAATAACGTTTATAGAGTAAACAATAAGGTAAATATTGTCCTTACTTTCCCGTAATCTAAATCCCAATATTTTACCAACTTAACCCAGTTACTACTGGTAATTCCATGTGGCACATTATTACACATATCATCCAATTTCTTCTCTAGTGGCTTGTAATGAATTAGTTTCAGAGAATATTTGAACTGCCTCCAACATTTATTGGAACGCTTGAGAGCTTGGTTGTCATATTCCACACCAGGAGGAATCACAAAACGGTCCTTCAGTAAAAATAATTAGTTAAAAATATAAATTAGTAAGTAATCTATTAGAAGTAAGAGACCGGCTAAGTATGTGTGTTTAGGCAATGACAAGGGGATGTCTTAGGGATGATTATACTTACTCTTATGTCTTTAATTATTTTCCCTTTAAAATGCTTGTCGATTGCTTTCCAATCTTTTTCCCCAACTGGACAATGTGACTCCATCTTCGCAATCATACTAATGAATTTAACCAAAATATGTCCACTCTTCCTAATTGGCTGGCATAAATCATTGAATTCGACATAGTACTGGACGCCGTTATTACTCCATACATCAATTGGCAGAATAATACCACTTACTAATGTAGTATTACCCTTGGCATCTAAATAAAATAACAAAATTAAGTTAAAAGAAATATTCAGTTTAAGTTGATTAGCAAACAAATTAACTGGCAAGCAGCAAGTAATAGTAATATTATTAGTTATACCTCAAACCAAGGTGAAATTAAGTGGCAAGCAGCAAGAAAGATATATTATTGAATCACAGAAATTGACCACATCTCTGAAAGCAAGGTGAAATGCCATATAAATCAGAAGTCCCAATGAGGTTTAAAAAAAAGGGTATAGAATCTGGTTAGTGGAGTTTAGAGTTTTTGTGCATGTTTTCTTCAGAAAGTTTTCTCAGCTATATGCCTATATTGGCAACACTCCCATTATCTCAGCAAGTCTTCCTTTATGTTAGTCACAGCAGGTTCCTACTTTAAATCATATGTTATGGAATGGGTCAATGGGACCAAACGGCCACCACTTTATGTTATGTTAGTCACAGCAAGGCAGAAACACACCACAACAACAACAACAAGCAGTAGCAACAAGGCAGAAACACACCACAACAACAACAAGCATTAGACAACTTTAATAAAAATATTTACCTATGGTTAGCACCTCCTCCTTGTAGTCAAAATCTATGTCTACGGGCCAATCCGGAAGTGCTTTTGGTCGTAAAGACTTAGATTGTATCGGGATCTTCTCTGATTCTTTCCTACTGTTTTGTCGATCTTGATTATTCTGTGGAGCTGTTGCTGAAGTTTTAACAGCACCAGTCTCAAGGGCTTCAATTCCTCGTCTCATAGCTTGCTCGGGAGGTTTATGAGAAGTAGAAAGGGATTTCAATGATGAGTTTGGTCTACTTGATTGTGGAATATTAGGTGGGATATTAGGTGGGACTTTTGCTGGGTATTTATTATGATAACCTGATGTAGTTGCCTCTTTGACTGAACTCGATGTTGAACCAGGATGGTTTTTCCAAACGGATCCCAAACTATTAGGTGGTTGTTGGTCAGATTTTGTTGTGGTATTGGGTGGAGAAAAAGGTCCCCATTTGTCATCCTTAAGTACCTCAGTCTGTGGTGACTTAGTAGCTTGTTTTTTGGTGGGTTGTGAAACAACTTCAGTAGCATTTGACTTAGCTGTGGCAGCAAGTATTTCCCTTGCTCTCATGCTTCGATAAGTCATCTTTTACCTGATAAAACCATAAGACAAGCTACATTAGTATGTCAAAAATGATCTTAAACCTTTAGCATTTTATATCTCTCTTTAACCCTCAATTACCAAACACAACTCAAAACATTGGAAAAGGTATGAAATCAATGGTTGCAGCTTCAATTTACTTTCCTCCAAAGTTTAAACCAACAACAGCAAGGGTACACAACCTGCTAGCAACATTGGCATCACTTGCTTTCCAAATGTGAGTACTAGCATTAGAAATCAGAGACTTAACTGCCAAAAGTTCAATGGAGATTTAGTTCACGAGTCTAGGCAAAAAATTTCATGGGGAATCTCATGGTAATATAAAGACAAAAAATATCAGGTAAAAGAAAATGAAATGGCAGAATTGGCAGAGAGCTAAGACGTATAAACTTTCTTAAGTAATCTAAAGACAAAAAATATCAGGTAAAAGAAAATGAAATGGCAGAATTGGCAGAATATAGATAATTTTGCATTGATCTTGGCTTATACGTATCAAGACTTATAAACTTTCTCAAGTTTCAAGTATGAGAGAGCTATAAGAAAAGAAATAACTAAACTCAATCTCCAAGTGTAGCAAAAGCAGAAAGTAAGCAAACTCGATGTAAGAACGTGCCAATATTGAATCTGAGCACAATAACTAATCAACGTAGTAGTTATAAAGCTAACATCATTCTTACTTTATATGAATATGAATTTAGAAATATATACTACTAACAAAACCAAGTAAATATATGTAGTGATGAATTAGAATAACTAAATGAAATATAAAAATACACACCCATCCAAATTTATGAACTCAAATCTATAATAAATTATAAAAGTTGTAAACAAATTATTCAGGTATATCAAACAAGTCCCTAGGCTTAGTTTTCACAACATGACACCACCCTTTTTGTATCTCATCCTCAATATAAAAAACTTGTTTTGCTTGAGATGAGAAAACAAATGGATCATCACGCAAAAATCGACCAGTGTGCATCAACTTTGAGAAATTGATACGAACACTTCCATTCGGATTTGTTTTGATACCCCTACGGATATCGACCCAATCACAACGAAACAATACAACCTTATAAGAACCATAATAATATAATTCCAAAATTTATTTGAGTTTTCCATAATATTCGTGACCCTCTGCTTCCACCATGATTCCTGAATTCTGAGTTACTCGAAATCGCTCACGATCCACAATATCAAATTTGTAACCATTGATAATAACACTTTTCATCCTTTTCCCGCGGTTACTCAAGCCACCGGCTAAGGCTTTTCTTAACTTTCCATCTACCGTGCTATCATCTAAATTATGGACCTATAGTTCGAGAATAATAAAGTTAGAATTAGAAAGTTGTATAGTATGAAAATAAAAAGACCCTAAATGTAAAAGCATATGACCCGGCTTTGCAACCAATCTGCAAATTCATCAATTATCCACTGATTTTCAATAGATTCATCAACTTGACTTCCTCCAACGTCATTCTCTTGCCTCTTTAGTTTTAGGAACTCACTATCGAGATTGTAAATTTTATGTTAGTAACAAGTATATATTGGACGCTTTAACTACACACATAATGCTACTTACTTGAGCACCGGGGTTAGTTCATCAGAATGAAGTAAAACATAGCAATGAGCTTGCTTTAAACTTCTATCATCCAAACGGACATTTTCTTTCTTTCCTACAACACGACCACCAGAGTTATACAAATAGTTGTCAATGTTTGATACACCATCCTCATTCCTTTTAGGTCTATTGAACATAGTCTCAACGCTTTCTAAATATCTCGAACAAAATGCAACTGTCTCCCACAAAAGGTAACCTTCTGCTATAGATCCTTCCGGTTGCGCTTTATTGCTTACATGAGATTTCAAAAAGGCCAAGTACCTTGAATTATAGTAACAATTTTGTATGTGAATGTGAAAGAATAGGAAAAATTATTATATAAAAATAAATAATACAAATAATAATAATAATAATAATAATAATAATAATAATAATAATAATAATAATAATAATAATAATAATAAGTACCTTTCAACAGGATACATCCATCTATAGTGAACCGGTCCGCCTAGTTTGACCTCTTCCACTAAATGAATTAGTAGATGGACCATGATTGTAAAAAATGTTGGTAAAAATTCTTTTTTAAACTTGCAAAAAGTCAACACGAGCTTTGATTGAATGGTATCTAATTCTCTTGTATCTATAGCAGTTGAACATATCTTTTTAAAAAATTCAGATAACTCAAGCAAGTCAATAACTCTTGTGGCATTCGACGCCCTTAAAGCAATCGGGAGGATATCTTGCATGAGAATATGATGGTCGTGACTTTTCATATTAATAAGTTTCCGTTGCTTTAGATTCACACATCTTTGCAAATTAGATCCATATCCATCAGAAACTTTCATCTTTTTCAAGACTTTCAAAAATCGTTCTTTCTCCTCGTTAGACATGGTGTATGCAGCCGGCGGGATGTAACCTTGAGGGTTGATTCATAGATGAGGTTTTATATTCAAATTCTTTAGGGATTCTCTGACACTCTCATCATCCCTACTATTATCCATATCTAAAAGAGTTCCTAATAAAATATCGGACACATTCTTTCCAATGTGCATAACATCTAAATTATGTCTAAGAGGATTATGCTCCCAATACTCTAATTCAAAAAATGTACTTTTCTTTTTCCAAATAATATGATCACCATCGGGATCGCAATCATCATCAAGTTCATTGGCAGCTCTTTTCCCTCTTTTTTTAGGAACTTTTTTTGTCTTCCCATGTACATACTTTACCCCTTCTTGTTGCTTCAAAACTTCGGTCCCGCTGGTATGAATCGGAGCAATACCATATTCTTCTTTCCCATCAAATAAATTAGCTTGTGAACGATATGGGTGATCAATAGGCAACCATTTTCGATACCCAGCGTAGATAATTTTGCCACCAAATCTATCTGAATAAGTAGAATGAGTGCAAGAAGGACAAGTTTTGTAGCCTTTCGTACTCCAACCTGACAGCATAGCATAAGCCGGAAAGTCATTAATAGTAGAGTGTAGGGTTGCTCGCAGTTTGAAGTTGCTTCCACTATAAGAATCAAAAGCATCAACACCTTCCCACAATAATTTTAGTTCATGGATTAGTGGTAGCAAGTACACATCAATATCCATACCGGGACCAAATTTACCAGGAATAATTATAGAAAGAATAAAGGATGATGGTTTCATACAAAGCCATGGTGGTAAATTATAAGGAATGAGGACTACCGGCCATGTACTATAATTTGTGTTCATAAGACGATATGGATTAAAACCATCACTCGCTAGGCCTAATCTAACACTGCGAGGATCAGCGGCAACTCTGTCTATTTTTCATCAAATTTTTTCCATGCCTCGCCATCAGCAGGGTGTCGTAGAATCTTATCATCTTTACGATTAAAGTGCCATCTCATGTCTCTGCAGTTTTAGATGACATGTAAAGCCTCTTTAATCTAGGGATAAGGGGAAAGTACCGCATTACTTTAGCTGCCTCGCCTTTCTTACATGCTTCTTTTCCTTTTTCATTTACATCACCCTCCTTTCCTTTCACATTTTTCCACCTTGATGTCTTGCATATATGACACTCACTTTTATTTGCGAATTCGCCCCAATATAACATGAAATCATTTGGACATGCATGGATTTTCTCATATCCTAACCCTAAATCATTATTATCTTCATGCCTTCATAATAGGTCGATGGAAAATCCTTAATAATGGGAAATGCGTCAATTAGAAGTTCAAGTAATTTATTAAATGACTCTGCAGACCAATGGAACATACACATTAGGTTAAACAAATGCAATAGAAATGAAAGTTTCGAAAAAGTAGTACACCCCTTGTATAGGCCTTTTTCAGAAGCTTCCATGAGATTTTTATACTTTGCCTGTTCTTCATTTGAGAAAGTTGATTGATACTCATCATCTACCTCACGATAAATGGTAAATCCCTCATCCATGTCATATGAATTGTCATCCTCAATACTTTGTTCATTAAATGATGGGTCTTGAGTTTTGTCGGTTTGTTGTGTATTAAATCTAAAAGCTACTCTTAGTAACCCATCCATATCATCTCGACCTACTGCATTCACTTGATCATCACTTAGATAATAGGTCTTACTCCCTTCATCTTTACGATGAAATATCCAATTTCTATAGTTTTTATAAAAACCATAAAATAAAATATGCCCTCCAACTTCTTCTACATAATTCGTTTTATTTAACTTGCACTTATTACATGGGCATTTAGTTTCCCATGTATTTGGTAAAAGAGTCTCTTTAGCAAGTTCCAAGAATTTCATGCAACCTTTGAAATAACAAGGATCACCTCTTGGTAAATCAATCCAACTAGTATCCATGTCTACAAAGAAGTATATAGTTAATTGCCAAACAAAAACAATGAAAGTAAGTAATTCAAGCCTACAAACTTGTTGTGGGTGAAAGAAGAAAATTAGAAAGAAACATGCAACAACAAAAAAAAGTTTACAATAGAGTATACAACACTATATTCATAACCATCGGCTTTAATAGAATATACAACATTAAACCCTTGATATACATAGATTTTAAATAGAAAACAGGCACCAAGGCACCAATACAGCACCAGGTCATGAGTATTAGGCAAGGGAATGAGTGAGAGCTCATAAGAAGACAAAATGCAACAATTCTGAAATTCCTTAATACACTTGTCCATGGCCTTACATGTAGTGTCGTAGATAGTGGATAAAAAAAGGTAAGTCGAGGCATGCAGCTATTCAAATCCAACTAACTCACACACATCCATTTTGGTAATCTATCTTTGCTAGACAACAGTAGGAGTATACTAGGACTGCATATATAGGCAACCTCACATTGAGGTGCGTCCACATTCATATGCATGACCGAGTCAAAGAATATCTAATGCTTATCCCTATGACCCTATCCATCTAGAGCTAGACTTGGGGGCTTGAACCTACATCATTTAGCCTACCTAGCCTAAAGAGTCACCATCTCGAATCTTCTCACATATATTTCCATCACCATAACCTTTGCAGCCAGCCTTAGTTTTACATTCGCACACTTCACTCACACATCCATATCCATATCATCCTTCCCTTTAAGAACCCTTTATCATGGAATCTTGTTTCAACATTGCGCATGCTTCATTTTCTTTCAAGACTACATTTATTAAAAGAAACATTGTATACTTGCTTAGCTTCCTAACCTGAGTAATATTCATTATTTCACGCATCGCGTAATGTGCTGAGCAACATTTATATATCAATGATTTGTAATCATACAAAGCATATCACGCTTAGCGCATTGACCTAACCAACGTTCATTATGCAATAATCACTTCATTTATATACGTGCTTAGCTTCTAGACCTAAGTGACGTTCAAGATCGCTTCTTTACACCATGTATGATGCTTAGCTCCATGAACTAAGTTCATTCATCTATCGTGTCGCATGATGTAATTTTCCTTAGCCTCCTAGCCTAAGAACATACATCATGCATACATTATACTCAAGACAAGTAGTTCAATCTGACAAGAAGAAAATCCATGCGATTCATTTTCCTTTGCTCGGCGAGGAAGTTCAAAACTTCTTCCCCTTTTCATGTCTTTTCTTTTGGGAAAGTTCAAAAACTTTTTCAAAATTTTCATCGAGGGAAGTTTAGGGAATATTTCAAGCATTATCCCTAACTTGAACCCCACTGTGATCATACACTAAAGTACGGTGGCGTCCAAAGGGAAAGAAGATAAAGCAAAAGAATCGCCAACAAGTTTTAGGATCTTGTAAACCGTTCACGAGGTGAAGGTTACACCCCTTAACGATCCAGGAGATCGTCAAATCCAATAGGTCTGGAACCATGACTGGTAGTTCGGGGATGAAGTTACAAATCCAACCTAAAAGAGATTGAACCTGCCCTAATAATAGGCCTCTAATTTATTCTGATCATATTCATGTGCGCTTTCTGACTAACATGCAATCAATGGGTTTAACCCTAAACCTGTTTAATCTATGTTAGTTGAATATTAATACACAAACAAAACAATTATTGGCGATCACTTGAATTATAATCATATTTACCCTAAACAAGATTATTAATTATCTTATTAAGCGTGATTACAAATACCAATTCCCTTTAAACATGCATAAAAGGTGTAATCAAGCAATAAATAATAAATATCATATCAAGCAACATAATTATCATAAATAATAGTCAAAATTATAATCATCATAATATATATAAAAATAATCATAATCATATCAACGCTAAAGCATAATAATAGCAAGATCCTAAGCATGATACGAACAAGATTAATAACAAGCCATAGCATGTCACTAAACAATAAAAATCAAAGTTTTAGCCCTAACATGATACTAACATGATATTAGGAAAGAAAGTAGGAAGCATCGCAGAAATCATAATTATCATATTTGATATTAGAAATTATAGTTGTTACCCTAAACATGATACTAGGAATCATTGTTGTCATTCAAAACATCAAGCATCCTAACATGATACTAGGAACCATAATAACAACCTAGACATGATTTCTATATCATAATAACAATAAATCAATTAAAGTACTTACTTGGATGCCTCATACCTCTTTCTAATAACAAAATACACACGTTAGTAACTTCAAGGAAAATAATAAATCAAAATAATTAAATTAAATAATATAAAGAGAAATTTGGGACCAAACCCTCAAAAATTAAAACCTTTCACGTCTAGGACGAAGGCAACTTCGAACTTGGCTAGGTGTGTCTAGTGCTAATGTATGAGGAATTTTGTTTGTAAAAGGTTAGGCTAGGAAGAGGGAGAGAGAATCAAGAAATTATTGATGAGAGTTGATGATTGAAAAAGGGGAGATATGACCTCTATTTATAGAGAAA